CATGAAACGAAAAAATTTCAAAAGTTAAAACCGTATTAAAAATAATAATTGAAACAACACAAATTCAATACAAAAATATTAAATAGTTTAACTAAAAGATAAAAAATAACACTCAAAGTCAAATATTTAAAAGAAAGAAAGTATGAATGTTTTAAAATTAGGTTTTAAAATATAGATCTTTAAATTTTTAAAGTATTTACATAATTTGTTTCCAAATCAAAAATTTTAAGAAACGCGTTTCTGTTTCCAAAACATTTCTAAAAGGGGAACAGACTTTGGTCGGAATTTCCATATAACCTAGGTAATAAATGCAAACAATATTTTGTAAACTGGTTAAATTAATATAACCATTTTTATTTCTTTCACATACCACACACATAATAGTTAGGGTTTAGCAGACTTTAATAAAAAACAAAAAAAATCTAGATATTCTAATTATGGCAATTCTAGTATTATGGAGGTTTCAGCTGAAATATTTTTGCTTAAACGGAAAATGCATGGTTGTATTGAGTACTTAATGTTATAAAACTCAGACCCGAACATGTCACAAAGTTACAAAAATCCAAATAGTTTATAACAAAACGTAGAAAAGTTCAAATATTCCTCATGAAAAAAACAGCCTCCAATTTCCTAAGGATCATCTCTCACTTCAAAAGGGAAATACAACAATACATCTGTTTAAACCGTATCCACATCAATTTAACTTTCGTGTCTCCGATAAACCTACAAATAGATAAACGGAATTCAAGGTTGAAGATAAAGACTTGAGGCAATCTTGAATATGTCAATGATAGATAGTTCAACATTTAAGAACATTACCTCCTCAAATTTTAGCTTTGTTTCTCTTTAAACCTTGAACTCGTGGACATGGAACCATTTCGTGGATGACCATTTGTTTCCTTTCACCACTGGACATCCACCTGAAATATCAAACCAGAGGATATTGAAGTTTAGAGACTGATATTACTACTGTCTTCAAGAGAAAGCAAAAGATAAATTTTCGGTTTTCGAATTATCAGTCCTTACCGTGCAAGCTCGAAGGGTCTAGAGAGGCATCAGGTCTCATGTTCCAGAAAAGTAAAGCGTCTCGCTTCTTTGGTAGAACAGAGAGTCCTTCTTTGCCACATTTTGAGAGCTCGTTCCACCACGGGACTGCACTAATGTTTCCTTTTGCTGCAGGGAACACAGTCTCGCCACCATCATCAACATCCGAGCTAAAGTATTTTGTAAAAATAGAATAAAGATTAAATACATAATGAAATTCTCTAAGAGAAAGGGATAGTGAGATTCTTTTGAGTTACGTACAGGTACATAAGAACAGTAGCTATCCGCTGTCCTCCATTCTTGGTGTTGAACTCATCTAAGAAATAGTCATAGTGAGGCTCATACTTCTGCCCAACTTGGTAGTGAAGAACTTGAAGACCTTCTCCATTTTCTACAAACAAAAGCATGATCCACAAACTCACAAAGGGTTTTCCAAAGTATAGATATCAAGAGTAACTGCGACTGGTGATCTTTAAGATGTTTCAACACTTCCTTCACTGCAGGATTGACTAAAGCAAAAATGGCACATACCTACAGGAATGAAGGTGAAATCTGAAATCCTTTTCTCAATCGTCTCCACAACTTTGTCCTGTCCTCTTCTAAGAAAAGTTCCTGAGCTTGTCCTCACTCTACACAAGGACCGCATTCTCAAATTAACAAACATCAAACCTTCCTAAGTTCAAACTAGATTGACCAAAAGGAAAGAGTCGATACAAACCTACTATCTTTGCTCCCACCAGTTTTCTCATCAACCACTTCTGACTTAACCATGCTCGGTTTCGCAAGGTGGATCAGGTGCTCACATTCTTCATTGGTCTAAAGAAAACAAAAATGAATAGAAAAGCTCAAGATCCACATCTCAGACATTCCAATTCTAGATTCACTGAACATTTTCAATGTTCTTCAATAGAAGATTCATTGAAATCAAAACCTAGACCCTCTATAGGACAACAAAGTCAACTCGATCGATCAAAACTTAGCAACAAGAAGAAGCTCCAAATTTGTTTCTTATCTTGTCCAACAAGAAATACAAAATCATTAGAGATTAAGAAACAGGAAATTACCAAGAAATTGTGATAAACAACAGCTCGAGGCTCCCATGAAATCACTTCAACCCAACGCTCGTTGTTTCCTTCATCATCTCCATAACTAAAGAGAACATTTTCAAGAAACCCATTTTCAGAAATCACTTAACAATTCCCAGAAATCAAAACAAATAAAAAAACCCAGATCGTTTTACCTCTCTTCACTCTTCCGTACAATGTTGGTCAAATCATTGGGCTTTGAAGAGTTTCTATTCGCATTAGGAAGTGATAAGATCCCAAGACCGAGAAGAATCAGAATCACTACAAGCAAAAGTATAAGCACAGTGAAAGCTTGAATCGATCGCGATGATGATTTTCGAGGTTGGTAACGATGCTGCTTCGATTTAGGCGCCATGGATTTTGATTTTCTTTTCGTCTCTCAAGATCTAAAAGAGAAACAACATTGAAGAAGAGAAGAGAAGAGAAGATTTTCAATC